AGGTAAAATGGCATTCTAGTGCGGTGCACAACTAGCCATCCTACAGTCTAGCTGCCTTATACAAACACTTAGATTATTTTTATTAATAGCCCCATTTACTTTTTCTTTGTTTATCTATAAACTTATATATTTTTTTAATAATATTTCCTTTTTTATTTTCCCCTTTTCATCTTTCTAAAGCTCTTAAACATTGTTATTGTGCTAAGCACTTGTGTGGTCTGGGTTCAAACATATTTTTTAAAACATATTTTTAACATAATATTTGACTGACCAACACCGCGTGTTATACGCTACGGTGCAAAGTCCAGCAAATGCCGCACGGCCGACGACGACCCGCCGCAAATGGTGCGAGAGTCTTCCTCCCGTTGTGAAAGCGACAACGTCGACCAACCGAACCGCACCCGCGCACCGTCACCTACAACGCTGCTAACCATTTTGCCGTCCAAGGATCACGCCGGACATCGCGTCGTCGACGCCAGCGAAAGTGCCGCGATATTATGCGAAGATTATTATTACTGTGTTTATCTTTTCGGTTTGTTTTATTTTTGTTAAAATAATCTGTTGTCGCTCATTTAATAAACGGCCCACGGGTCTCTACCCTCAAAACCAGAGTCGACCACATTTTTGCGACGTAAGTCGTGTCAGTGTATAATGTAAATGTTTGTAGGCTTTACTTCTATTTTCACCTTAAGAAATCTGTCATTTAGGTGGTACAAGTTAAGTTCATTGTCTTTCCACTTTCCTCGTAATATCACTGCCACTCCGTTTCTTCTACTTTTCTTATTTCTACTATGAATGATTCTAAAATCTTCAGATATGAAATTACCATTTCCTGACCATCTTGTTTCACTTATACCAAATATGTCTAACTTGGCTTTCTTCATTTTATCTTTTACTTCTTCCAGCCCCGCCATTTTAATCATTGTCTTTGCATTATATATCTATATTCTAAAATAGTCCTGTTTAGTCTTTCCACAAGGTTTTCGTTGAATAACGGCCTAAATAACCTTAGATCTATTTCTGTTGGATCTTGGTGTTCGACTTCCATGATCAGTACGTCTCTCTTCATTTTCTTGTACATCATTTAATTAGTAACAGTTTCTCGGTTAGAAATATCATAAAGATCTTTAATGCAGTAGATTCCCTGTAGTCTTCTACATTCTCAAGGTCGATGGTAGATCTTTGAAAGTAATTTCTCATCTACAAAACAAGTGATAGCCCTACTATAACTAGTAACTAGTAGTTATTCATCCGCCCTTTTGGCCGTTGGTTTACAGAGTTTACTACTGATTCCAAAAGTTGGTTAGATCACTGGAATCGTCTACCTGAGATATTCCACCAGTAAATCTCAGGCTCTGGGTTCACCATACTTATAGTATATGGAAGTCATAATCTCCCAAGAGGCAAATCCCAAAAATTTTGAGTTAAATATTTGTAATATTGTTTAGCTTTAAATCAATAATATTTTTAATACAGATTTAATTTTAAATAATATTAGCCACAAGTGATCAATTTTAATTATTTAATATATCTCTTTTATCCAACATACTTTCTTTAAACTAAAATACCATGCAATAAGGAAACTATAGAAATAGAGTCACCGGTTGTCATTTATTATATGCTAATGTCATTATCTTTGGTATTTTTTAGTTTTTATATATTTATTGATTTTATATATTTATCAATTATTTATACCACATAAAATTATTTTCCTGTTTACGAGACACTGAATAATTTCTACAATTTTTGAGGATAAAATGATTAAATAAATAAAACATACAGAAATAAAAATTTAATTTAATTTTTAACTTGATAAATATAAATAAGAAAAAATAAAACATTTCTCATTAATATTTTTATTAACTATATGAGTTATGTTAACTTATAAAAAATTATACTCAGTTATATTTTTTTTGTCAATGTCCATTGGTTCTAAAATTTCTTCTGGTGACACGTCAGGATTCAATCCTAGATAAACATATTATAGATTATACAAATAGCACGTTGGAAAAACTATTTACAATAATTAAAAACGATTATTACTAACCCTATCTAATTTTATTAAAAATATACATATTCAAAATTATTATTTTGTATAGTTATAATAAAATTTATCTTAAAAATAATTGTAATGTAGATTTTTCATAATTGCAATATATTTTACTCTGTAATAAGATATAATACCTTGTTTTAAAAAATCGATTAATTCTGACGTCTTAAAATTTTCAGACTGATCTTCTATTTCTTTATCACTGCTCACTAGCAAAACAAATCTGTTCAGCTGAGTTTTATATTATTTTTTAATGTTATTTATTGTTAGTTTTAATTGAGTTAAATTATTTTGTTTTATGCCGCATCGACGGCCATTAGTATTGAAGGGCTCCCGTTACCACTTAGATTTAAGATACTCTCAAGAATTTCTAATATATGTGGTTATTAAATTATTGTCTATTCTCGTTATTTATTGAATGTACAGTTAATCGTCATCCCCAGATGACCCATTCCTGCTTCAATAATAGCGATTTAAACATGCTTAAGGTAAAATGGCATTCTAGTNGCATTCTAGTGCGGTGCACAACTAGCCATCCTACAGTCTAGCTGCCTTATACAAACACTTAGATTATTTTTGTTAATAGCCCCATTTACCTTTTCTTTGTTTATCTATAAACTTATATTTTTTTTTTAATAATATTTCCTTTTTTATTCTTCCTCTTCATCTTTCTAAAGCTCTTAAACATTTATATTGTGCTAAGCACTTGGTTGGTCTTGGTTCAAACATATTTTTGAGCCTAAATTTAATTTTTTTGTACATAGCATGTTATAAATTAAAAATTAAATATTTTACCTTGTTGAAAAATGTCTATTTTTGGCGTCCTAATGTTTTCTGACGGAACTGATTCTTCATTAGTGCTCACTATCATTACAAAACGATGAATATTCAAAATAATGTTAATTTAAATTATTTATGAGGACTAAACAATTATACAATATTTATTAAATTTTTTTTATATGAAAACTTGAAATAGCACAGATTTTTCATATTTTTAATATATTTTACTCTGTTAATTGAATATGATATTTTACCTTGATTTAAAAAGTCGATTAATACTGGCGTCTTAGGATTTTTAGACGGAACTTCTAATGCTTTATAAAAATAATCAAAATGATAATGTTAATTAAAACTGTTTATGAGAACTAAACAATTATACAATTATGTATTGTTTAAATGTGTAAATTGGCAATATGTGTCAATCTATTAGTATATAACATAACTAAATGGTTATATTATTAAGAAATAACTATAATAGTGTTATATAAAATAGTATTTCTCGTTCAGCATTTGTTTTGTCGGGTTTAAATATACAAAATGATCAGTAAGTAAGAAAACA